AAAGGAAGGGGAGGAGAGGAGAGGAAAGGAAGGGAAGGGAGGGGAGGAGAGGAGAGGAAAGGAAAGGGAAGAAAGGGCAGGGACGGGAGGGGAGGAAGGGGAGGAGAAGAGAGGAAAGGAAAGGGAAGGGAAGGGAAGGGAGGGGAGGCGAGGGGAAGGGAGGGGAGGGGAAGGGAGGGGAGGGGAGGAAGGAGAGGAGAGGAAAGGAAAGGAAAGGGAAGGGAAGGAAGGGCGGGGAGGGGAAGGGAGGGGAGGGGAGGAAGGAGAGGAGAGGAAGGGAGGGGAGGGGAGGAGGAGAGGAAAGGAAAGGAAGGGGAGGGGAGGAGGGGAGGGGAGAGGAAAGGAAGGGGGGAGGGGAGGGGAGGAGAGGAGAGGAGAGGAAGGAAAAGGAAAGGAAAGGGAAGGGAAGGGAAGGAAAAGGAGAAAATTCATTAAATAAATGTACTGAAGACACTTTAGCTTCCACCTACCTTTGCTTGATTCTGGAGGTAACAGCTATCAAGACTAACCAGCCATGAACAGATACACTTCAATTTTATCTAACCCCTTAGATTACTTCTTTTGGCTGTTTTCAGCTTCAACATATTACCATTGTTGCTCTCTTGACTGTGCTACAGATAGAAGATTCAAGTCAGGCTGTTTTAAAGTGTTAAGGCCAAAATAAATTAAGAAATACCAACTAAGATTTAATATTTAATTGAGAGCCTGAGTGAAATGACCATTAACCCCAGTTGGCTTTAATTTGCAAAATCATCATTTTGACTGATAATGCAGCTTAAACAATTTATTCATATCAAAAAGTCATTTTGATACTCACCTCTTGTGCTAAAAGGGCATGAAATAATGTTGATTAGAAAGCAGACTGCATGCCATTCTCACCTATACCAAAATATTAATTCACTTGGCCAATCATACTATATTTTCAATTCATATTATTGAAGGATGCATTAGAACTATGCCTGTGCTAAGACAAAAATCTATTACTCGATGCACTTTAATTAACATTTAACATTTAAATTACTTTAGATGACTTCTAACTGAAAACTTTTCTAATAAAATGAATGTGCAACAGGATCGGTACCGTATGTTCATGCTGTAAGATAAATTCTAATAGCAATAATAATTTACGTCGGGAAGGTCCTTATCATTAGCATAAATCCTGGGTTATATGCTAAAATCATTAAGAAAAGTGCAAATCACACAAACTTCAATAAGATTAGTAGTGTGAACAATTGGATTGGCTAATCAACCAAAGAAAATCAACCAAAGAAAATGCTTCCTTTCAGGTACCTCAAAGCTTAAAACTAAAACGTAAGTCTATTTTCTAAAGTCCCACTCCATCCTGTGAGAATTCTGTTTGTAGGTCTGAATACAATTTGTTTCATGAATGAATGTCCCAGGATAATGCTGCAGGATCCACTTTGGGTCGGTCACCAGGACCAGAGGTTTTGTCTTGCAAGCTTTCAGACTTGTGCTGGAGCCCATCCAGAGAGATGTTTCCTGAATATGGGCCTCAGCAGGAGTCCCTGAATATGACCAACCCAGATTTGATCCTGCCACAAATGGGCTCCAGCATGAGTCCAAAAGCTTGGAGGACAAAACCTCTGGTCCTAGTGACTGACTCAGATTGGATCCTGCAACAATTTGTTTCACTGAGTTTGGATGGAACATTTCACTTCATAGAATTTAACCAAAAATCTGGAAAAAAAATATTGTATTATCCCCTCCCCCAAAAGTATTTTAAGATAATAAGATGTTCGCAGAGTAAAGACATCGCTGTGAAAAAGTATATATTTGAATCAGTTTTATGTCGCAGGAATTCGT